GTTATTATTGATTATCATTCTTTTTGGAGTAAATGTCTTGAAAATCAAACTTTCACCTTCTCTGGCGATAGTCAAAGTTATCATTAAAAATCACACTTTTAGTGGTGATTTTTATATCATCACTGAAATTTTAATTTTTAAAAGTCACTGATAAAAGTAAACAATCAGCAACAACTTACAAAAGTTATCGTAAAAAATCATACTTTTAACGGTAACATTAATTATTGTTATAGAAGGTCAGACTTTTAAAGGTAACATTATTTACTTTTAATGGTGACTTTGGAGAGTTACCACTAAAAATTATCATTGATTTTTTTTTTTTGGTAGTGTAAGTGCCACAGGTGATGACAGCCGATGCCAAAGCTGTATTGATTAATAATCAGAAGCTAAAGATTGAATTTCATATTTCGCCAAGAAATTGCATCATCTCCAGGTGACAATGACGGTACAAGAGAAATATTAGAGTTAAGCATAAATTTTTAATTTCTTGCTGATTTCTTCTGATTTTCCTTTCACGCTCAATGTATCCTTTAAGATGTGAGAATTTAAATTTCAATGAACAATAAATCAGGCAGGACTTGATTTTTTTTTTTAATAAAAAGTTCTTTCGAACGCTGACATACAATTCCTAAGACACGCGTTAAGGTGCGTACTTGAAACATGGAGAAAAGTTTTGTCATTTATCAATGCACGCGCCTAATCAGTCATTTCGGTTGATTAATGTGATGGGGCACAGCCCAAAACGTGCCCTCTCAGTAAATCCACTGTAATTTCTCGAGTGTAGTTGCCGGTCTCTGGACTCTTGAGCACAGTAAACAAAGTAAATTAGAGATCTATCCGAAAGAAAAATTAAAGAGAGAAAGAGAAAAAGAGAGAAGAGATATGGACCAGATCCAAACAAATAAAACCGTGGTACAGGAGAAGATTAAGCCAACTACACTGAAAATAGCAAACAAGGGCCACGTATTGAGCCCCCTTTCAGCCTGAGACATGTAGCAAAATGCGCCCTCACAGTAAATCCACATATTGAATTTTTGGATTTAACTCACCTAAAATTTTCTTGTAGCAAAAAAGGAAAAAAAAAAAAAGAATTTGATGTCCAGTGAACACACAATTACCGTGAACACACACTGCGGCAAGATCAACAGGGACATCAGCGGGAATCCCAGATACCACGTGTGGGAGAGCAAAATGAACTCTCCCCACTACTGCTCAGATTTCAAATGAAATTGATTCTTTGTCTGAGGGTATTCATTTCTATTCAACCATGTATGTAGCCAGAGCTGGGTTTGAGGAATACGACACGGACTTGTTCAGGAAAGGTTTGGGTCCTCTATTTGGGGAATATATGCTCCAAAAAAAAAAAAAGGAGCATCCCCGTCTCCTCGAGATGAGGTTGTTACGGTAAACTGGGCTAATATTGAACCAGGCCTCATGTCTATCTGTTAAGGCCCACGTTTAATTTGGGCCACCACAGACTGCCTATCACTTCCAGGACAACTTTTCCTCCTTCCATACAATTATTAAAGGGAAAAATTTCTTCCAATTAAAAAAAGAAAAAATAATCATTTAATTTTTTAAATCTTGATCCAATTATAATTTAATTTATATTCAATTTTAAAATATTAATAATAATTATTAAAAATTAAATGTTAAACATAATAATTAAAAATATTTTAAACTTTAAAAATTAAAAGAAATATTAAATGCTAAACATAATAATTAAAAATATTTTAAACTTTAAAAATTAAAAGACTTCAGTGATTTAAATTTAAAATATTAGTAATAAATCTTAACATGAACTAAATCTTTATAATTTTTTAAGATATACGAATCAATATGTTAAATAATTAAAAAAAAATTAAGTTACAATAATTAAAATTTAAAAATTAAATTTCAATTAAATTAAAATTTTAAAGATTGAGTTATAATGAGTTAAAATTTAATAATTGAATAAAATATTATAAAGAATAAATGATTATTTTTTATTGATAAATATCAATTTCAGACGGGTCCCTTCAATTTTTAAGAGGAAATAAAAGCCCAATTTTATTTTTTTTTACCGGGAAAAAAATCTGCTTCCAAAGCCGTCGATGTCACCAATTTCGTCTCCGTCATTTTTGGCCAGCGAAGATACTTCAAGTCACTTAATTTCGTCTCTGTCATCTGCGGGTGAGATTTTTTGTTTTATTTTTGATATGAAAATGCATACCCGAAAACACATCGTCGGCATTTTTTTTTTTTTTTAAGGATGTAACGCGAGGATTTTCTAAAAAATATTTATTGCGCGCGCGTGTTTCTTGATACCAATTATTTTTAATAGTCATCATATCTCTTTTTGGCAGCTTGCTCTGTAGACATAACTGGAGTTCACAATCTTATTGTATATCAATTCAACATACACGCAAACACTTCTCGTTTATGCTATATTCCTTTAATTTTTTTTATAAATTATTTTTAGTAATCTCATCAATATTAATGTTAAAAATATAAGAAAAAAATGTGTAAAATTTCAAATACTCATATACAACAAATTCAAAAGTAATATTATATTATTTTTTATAAAGGATAATTTTGCAAATATATTTTAAATATTATCTAAAAAAGTCACACAGTAATTTATAAATAAAATCAAATAAATATTTTAAAACATATCTTATAAATAAGATTCAATAAAGTATTTGATTAGAGGGGGGCCGGAAGAGAGAGATTTGAATTTGGGGGGGGGGGGAGGGAAGAGGGGGGAGAGGGGAATTTCCTAAAGCCCCCAGTTTGAGTTGAATTTTCCCTCCAACCAAAGAAGAGTTAGTAGTGATGGGTTCATGTACAAGGCCTGACATCATTACTGAGTTTTGTAAGACCTTCACAATATTATTCCTCCCAGTAGCTATGCAAGGATGAATATAACTCAAATCATGGAAAAAAAAGAACATGTTACTGCGCGCTTCAATAAAAGAGAAGCACGCTGTGTAAAGGCATGGAGTGTGAAAGAAAAGCATTGTCACAACATAATTGATATTTTCCGGGTAACTACAGAGCACGCAGAGGCAGCAATATGTACAGGGTGAAAAGTGACTCAGGTGATGAGAAGAAGGAGTGCGGGGACCAATATCTTCGGACTTATGATTATCGGGCTTCATATGAGTTTTGGTCTGGGCTTTGTCTTCAATATTCTTGTTTCCTGAGATTCACAACATTGAACTGATTCGTGGGATTGCTCAAAACAAATTCGTCCCTGCTGGCTTCTCTCCTAGCTCTGGATTCTGAAGTTTATTCCTGTTGTTTTTGCCTTTCTTCAGTTTCTGTTTGGTTCTTTTTGTTGGTTTACTCTGCTCTTGTTATCTGAACTCTTGGTTTCTAGCTCTAATATATAAATTTTATTTGCTTGGTCCCAAAAAAAAAAAAACAGAGAAGGATGACACCAGGATCTGTTGGGAATAAGGAATGACAAGTTCCAGATGATTGCAAGGACTAATTTTATTTACACACTGGTAGTGGTATGGCGGCTGTGACATTCATAGACCGGAAGTTCTTTGTATTTTATTTTTAAAAATAAAAGATGTTAATGAAGTACATAAATTTTCTAGATTCAGTAACTTGACCTATCCTACCCCTTCTATTAATTCAAATTAATCCATGTCCATGGATGGAAAAGACTTAATTTAACCAGAATAATCTATTGTATTTTCCTAATCAAATAATAATATATTCATATGATCAAAATAATTTTGAAAAGATTAAAAATCATAGATGTGCGCATTTCTGCACACTTATGATACAACTATACGAATTAAAAAAATTAAAGAGATTTATTTTTTGTCTTGTCAATTATTAATAATACTTTCTCTGTTTTAAATTATAAAATATTTTTAGACAAAATTTCATGTATCAATAAATCTCATTAAATACACTTAATAACTTTATCTTTTTTAAAAAATATAAATTTTTAAAATACTCATTATTTAATATATTAAAAAGAAAAGAGACAGAAATTAATTATAAAAAGAAAAAGGATGATATTAAAATTGGTGCATTTAATGAAACCTTAATTTATTTAAAATGTATTATATTTTAGAACATAAAACTATTTCAAAAGTATTCTATAATTTGAAATGGAGAAAATACCAAATATCAAGAGATAATTATCTTTTAAAGTACTTAGAAATAGAAAAATAATTTTACTAATTTTTTCCAGCACACATAATTTTATAAATTCAACTACAATATTACATACAGATATTACATTAAGGAAATAACTCTTTTTTTTTTTTTGCCACATGTTAGGGAAATAACTCATATACTTAGATAAGTACTGTAACTCTATAGCAAAGTTTCGAATCTTTGATTTAAATAATAAAACGACTAATTTTGTGGCATAATTAATATTTATCAAGTTAAGAAAATCAAACCATAATTAATTTGATTTTTAATTTAAAATATCTTCCTTGAAATTTAACATTGATTAATTTCATTTAATTTAAATTTAATATTTGGGCTAAAAAAATACATTTATAAAAGTATTTAATATTTAATCTGATATTGTCAAAATTTAATGTATACATAGTGGATCTGATATGATTACACGCAATAAAAAAAGATAAATGGGTAGATAGATTACACGCAAGCTTATGCTGTGCTCAACTTCTCACCCAAGCAAACATTGAAATTCTGGAGAATAATAGTGACAAAAATAAATTTCTTATTCACATAACTCATCGTATTAATCATTAATAAAAGCAACACCTTGAATAAAAAAATATATTTATTTATTTATTTATTTTTAAAGCACTTTTTGAGAGGATATCTGTAAAAATACCTAAACAAATACGGCAGTAAAGTTCGCCGCAGGGAGAGTGGGAGACCTTTAATTTTTTTGGGATAGCTGGTCTCAGGGCAGTCGCCCAAGGGCGCATTTCCCATTGGGAACCATCTCTTTATAAATAATCGAAGTGTCGGCTTCGTGACTTCTTTTGATTTCTCATATTCCTTCAAAATCTTAGAGCTCTCGCTCTTCAGCTCTCAAATTTCGTTTGCAGGAGCTCTTTGATTCCGTCCCTGTTTATCGATGGGCGTCTCAAGCAAGCCTTCTCCTTCAAAAGCAACTCAAAGGTAAGGGGTCGCTTAAAAGTCCTCTCTTTGATATTGTCTGGCTTTGTGGCCTTTTGATTTGTCGGCAGTCTCAAATGGTTTTCGCGTGGATTTTTCGCCATTTTGTGATTGGCTTTTCCTTCTCTTGATTGTAGATCTTTGCAAGAACCCGGTTGATGGGTTCTCCGCGGGTTTGGTGGATGAAAACAACATTTTTGAATGGAGCGTGACCATAATTGGACCTCCGGATACTCTCTAGTAAGCTTATATCGTTTTTTTTTTTTTTTACGTTTCATGGCAAGAAAGTAATCTGATTTAGGATTGCTATTTGGAATTTTAGATTTGCTTTGTGTATATATGCTTTAGTAATTCTTTGATTGTGTGCGCATACGGGGTTGAGGGTCGGAGCCTGGCTCCCCCAAGATCACCTAGTTAAGTTGTTTAAAGTCCTTCGGTTTTTGATGATTGCTAATACCTTTGAATCAATGAGGTTGTTGCTTGTCTGCCCTAACATGATGAATTTATCAAATCGATAATTATATGTCCCTTGTTTTTGTTGCTCTATATCATTGTCGAGAATTATGAGAAAACATAAAAAGAAAAAAAAAAGTTGGTGACGATGAAGCTCTTACTAATCCGTCAAGTGATTGTAAGAATTTGAGTTGAAAGAACGAATAACAAAGAAAGATACTGGGAGACGTGATAGATTGCATGTAATGCAACTCCTATAGTTGGAGTACCCCTTCCAGAAGATCACCCACCTTAGCTATTTAAAGTACTTTGGTTTTTGATGATTGCTAGTACCTTCAAATTAATGATACTGTTGCTTGTCTGCTCTAACATGATGAATTCGTCAAATTGATAACAGGAAAAACTGGGCTGCATTGAAGATTTTACTAATCCATCAGTGATTCTGTGATTGTTTGAATTGAGTCGAATGAAAGAATGATGAAGAATGATATTGGCAGACATGATAAATAGAAAATAAATCACTCCCTGCGGTCCAAAATATAATCATTTCCTCTCAACTCATCTTAGATCAAAATATAAGCAACCTAATACATGTAAAAAAAAAAATTTCATCCTTTTATCCCTTTTATTATTAGCCTAGATATTTGTTAATTGTATTCCTCACTCATTATAGAGTTGTTAGTACTTGGGACTAGGGGTATAATAGGGAAAATATATATATTTTTGTGGGAATGGGGATTTCATTGTTGTGCGGATTTTTCCAAAAAACTGGATATCTTTTGGACCGGAGAGGTATATTGCATCTAATGCAACTCCTAGGGTTAGAGCCAGAGCTAGGCTTCCGGAAAATCACCTACCATGATGGATTCATCAAATTGATGAGAATAGGAGCCCTTATTTTTGTTCTCTATATCATTGCTGAGATTTCAGAGGAAAAACAGGAAAAAATGTGGGCAACATTGAAGCTTCTACTAATCCATCAAATGATCGTTTGAATTTGAGGTGAAAGAAAGAATAATGAGAATGATTTGGAGGGACATGATAGATGGAAAATAGATTATATACCATATAATGCAACTCTTAGTTTCCTATTTTGACACTTAGCCGAATTGTCGACTATATGCAAATTATTGAGATTTGTCTAGTGGTTGGTTGAATTCTCTATATTGCAGGAACTACTTTTGTTTTAGATTCATTGCAGAGGGATTTTAATTATTATCTGAAGTTTCCATAGTTATAACAGTTTGTTCATTATGTTGTATTACTATTATTTCCATGTTATTGTACCACTTGAGTTTTACTAACAACTTTTCTCTTTATTTGTTGGTTATCTGAATTTCTCATAGCGAGGGAGGATTTTTCAATGCGATTATGAGTTTTCCATCCAACTACCCAATAGTCCACCAACAGTGAAATTCCCTCAGAAATATGGCATCCCAATGGTTGTTTTTCCTGACTTGTGATGTTGCTCCGTTGAATGTAACTTGAAACTAATCTGCTTACCATGTGCAGTATATCCTGATGGTCGGGTTTGCATATCAATTCTTCACCCGCCAGGTGATGATCCAAATGGTTATGAGCTTGCAAGTGAGCGCTGGATGCCTGTTCATACA